ACGACTTCGGACTAGGTGCGTTCTACATAGTCGCCTTGACAACAAGACCAAGTTGCGACAGCGAGGTCAATCCATTTCTATAAATCGAAAGGAGACTGCAACCACACCAGAGGCCACAACATCTTGGTCTTCATATATCCCATTATTTAGTTTACTAAAGGATGTTTAATGGCTATCTTGCTGAAATGTTAACAAAAGAGTTTTTGAATTCAGATGTGCGCCTAATTTTTTTCTATTCTGGCTTGTAATTGAGGGTCAATGATATATTATTTAGATGTTAGCATGGATGATAAGAAATGTGCTTTATTAGTTTATACTTAATTTGTATAAATTTGGTTTCATTTTGTCGAGTCGATGCGCTGACCACTTGGCTTACTTAATTCTGTAGTAAGAAGAGTTCTACAAGAAGTAGATCACTCGGAGACCATCCTCAAATCGCTCTCGCTCTCGCCTTAACCAACACCCAATTAAGCTTGACCCAAGAGCAATTCCCTCAATTCTGTCAGGCGGTAAGAAGAGTAAAGTCATTTGTATGTGTGCATATACATTCACCTTTGGGATACATAATGAAAGTGTCCTCTACCAAACCAGTAAGTTCGTTCTGGAGGCGTTAGAGGTGACCTGGAGTGGGAGTGGACCAGCGTCTTCCATCGACGTTTGTGCGTGTTGCAAGTCAAGAGAGACCAGGCGGGCTGGATGCTGTGAAAAGGTGTGTGCTGGCGCTGGACGGGCGTCTGTCTGTCTGTATGTGCATGTGCATGTGCATGTGTGTTATGCGTTCAAGACGTTGCAATGGGAAAAGCGTCCGTCCCGAGGGTGTTTGACTTCACTTCCCATTCGTCATTGTCCTCCCCCTGTCTCCTACCAACCGGTTGCCAAGTGCTCTTCTGACATTCGGCTCGAGGACCGGTACATGTGTGTCTGTGTGTCTGTATGTGACTGTGTTGAGGGTGAAAGAGCGGGAAAGGAGGGGGAGGAGAAGAGGTGGGAACGTCGAAGCATGGGCCGCGGCTAACTGCGATAGCAGACGGGTCCGACGTTCACGCCGATGGCGCTTCTTCCGGCAGAGTCGAAGTGGCGGATCTTAAAGTCGACCACCGGCAGAATGCTCGGGTTCGAGGTGCGCAACATCAGTTTGGTGGACAGTCCTTCGGCCTGGAACTGATGTTGGGCGGTAGCGTCGACGATTGGAAGGGACGGAGAAATGGCAAAGGACAGTTTAGTCAACCCCTTTCTGAGCCTTCGACGTCAATTCGTCAACTGCCAACCCTTCTGGTACATTTCCCTACCCCTCAGCGCGTCCACCGAATCCCTTCTTCCCACTTTGTATGGCCACTTTTGTGTGTGTGTTGGAGACGGTTTCACGGGCCTGTCTACAGGGCGTTCTAAACCCAAATGCTGCATTCAATCTACAATCCATTTTGGTACTAATTGACTTTGAAAATCCCACTCTACAATTCTTCATTTACGATTAGTCTATTCAGTCAATAGAACAAATTAAGCCACAAGAAATGGCATAATATCTCATTTGTGCACATTCAATGATGGCATTTTAACTGATAAAGTCAACAAAGCTATTTTTACCATTGATACTAATGAAGATTTATCGCTTTTTATTATTCATTTATGCCTTTGTGCTGCTCCATAATGTACGATCGCATACTTTATTCATATTTCGAGTGTTCGAAGTAATTATGTACCAAGAGTGACTGGGGTTCGATGAACCCTCTGAGATGACATCATTACTGGGACTTTGATTTCGTATGAAAATGTATAAAGGAAGAGATTCGTCGGTCGATCGCACCGTCGTATAAAATCCAAACGGCTGTAGTAAAACGGGATTTAACCGTCCTCTTCCGATGAGATCGACTAACTAATCTCTTCTCCATACAGATTCCATACAAAATGAA